GTACATCATTTCACCCCCAGACGGACAATCCAAGCATATTATTCAAATTCTTGAGAATATGCTCTGTGTGTGTGTGATTAAGTTTGGAGGGTATTGGGATCAATTCTTGCCATTGGCAGAGTTTTCTTACAACAACAACTATCAGTCCATCATTCAGATGGCACCGTATGAGGCTTTATATGAGAGACGGTGTAGATCCCCGGTGGATTGGTTTGAGCTGAGTGAGGCTAGATTGTTGGGCAAAGACTTGGTTCAGGATGCTTTGGAGAAGGTTAAGGTGATTCAGGATAGACTGCGCACAACCCAGTCCAGATAGAAGAGTTACGCTGACCGGAAGGTTCGTGATGTTTCCTATATGGTTGGAGAGGGGGTTCTGCTTCAGGTTTCACCTGTGAAGGGCGTTATGAGATTTGGGAAGAAAGGGAAGTTGAGTCCGAGGTTTATTGGCCCTTTTGAGATATTGAGGCGTGTTGAGGAGGTTGCTTATGAGCTTGCCTTACCTCCCAGCTTGGTAGGAGTTTATCCGGTATTTCATGTTTCAATACTCCGGAGGTATCACGGTGATCCGTCGCACGTGTTAGATTTCAGTTCAGTCCAGTTGGACAAGGTTTTATCCTATGTTGAGGAGCCAGTGGCAATATTGGACAGGCATGTTAGAAAGTTGAGGTCAAAGAACATAGCATCAGTAAAGGTTCAGTGGTGAGGTTAGCCGATCGAGGAGGCGACCTAGGAGACAGAGCAGGATATGAGCAACCGTTACCCTAATCTTTTCACTACTTCAGGTATGTCTCTATGCTCGTTCGAGGACGAACGAATATTTAAGTGTAGAAGGATGTGACGACCTGGCTGGCCGTCTTAAGAATTTACACCCTGATCCCCTATTAACTGCTTTTCCCGTATTTATTTCTGCTATTTTGATTTGCCTCGATGTTCGATTTTCGGAGAGTTTTGGTACGCTTAGTCCCTAAATGAGAGCTTAAGTGTTGGAAATTTGACTGTAGTCGGATCAGTGTGAAGACGGCCTCGAAATGGAAATCCGATGGTTCCGTTAACTCCGTTGGGCAATTTCGGGCTTAGGGACGTGTTCGGATTGTGTTTTGGAGGTCCGTAGCCAATATAGGCTTGAAATGCCGAAATGTCGAATATTGAAGTTTCCGGTTCGATAGTGAGGTTTTGATCCGAGGGTCGTAGTGGAATTCCGGAAGTTAGAGTAGCTCCGTAGAGTTGAATGTGACGTGTATGCAAAATTTCAAGTCATTCGGACGAGGTTTGATAGACTTTTTGATCAAAAGCGTATTTCTAGAGTTTTGGAGTTCTTAGGCTTGAATCCGTGGTTGATTCGTCGTTTCGATGCTATTTTAGGTGTTTTAAGGATTGATATAAGTTTGGACAGTGGTATTAGACTTGTTGGTGTTTTTGGTTAAGGTCCCAGGGGCCTCGGGATGATTTCAGATGGTTGACGGAAGGATTTTGGAGTTTGGAGTTGCAGCTTCAGCTGCTGGTTTTCTGTCTTAACTGCACCTGTGAGTGTGGGACCGCAGGTGCGGCGCCGCAGAAGCGGCTCTGTGGTCGCAAAAGCGGAAATGGGGAGGTTCAGCAGGAGCCGCAGAAGCGGTAGAATTTTTGCAGAAACGGTACCGCATTTGCGGATGGGGAGTCGCAGATGCGGAAGTGGGTCTTAAGTGAAAGGTCGCAGGTGCGACTATTGTTGTGCAAAATCTGCGGATGCGGTAATAGCTGGGCAAAAATATGAAATTTCGAGGATTTAGTTTCAAAAGTTGGAAATTCGATTTGGAGCTCGGGAGAGGGCGATTTTGAAAGGAAATTGAAGAAGAGGTCATTGGGTAACAATTCTTTAACCCTTCTAGTTATATTCCATCAATCTATAGTTAGTTTCACCATTTAATTTCGGATTGGAGGTGAAAATTGGGGAAAAGTTGGAAGAAAGTTCTTAGACTTAGAATTCGACTTTTGATTGGGAATTTGACATTAGATTTGGATAATTTTGGTATGCATGAACTCGTGAGAGTGTGAGGATTCTGAAAATATAAATTTTACTCGATTCCGAGACGTGGGCCCGAGGGGCGTTTTGGTCATTTTACTTAATTTCGCGTATTAACTCAGAATTTAATGGTAGAATCAGTTACTTGAAGTGTTATTTACATTATGCAATTGAATTAAATAGATTTGGGCCATTTGGAGTCGAATACTCGTGGCAAGGACGTGATTTCGAGTTGATTTTGAGCTGGTTCGAGGTAAGTGGCTTGTCTAACCTTGTGGGGGGACTTTCCCCTTAGGATTTGGTATATTTGGTAATTGAAATACCTTGTACGTGAGGTGACGAGTGCATACTTGTGCTAAATATTGAAAATCCGGTTTTCATAAGTAATTACTAGTATGTTTCCTTTCCTATTTTCATTACTTGCACTATTAAGCCTGTTGTTAGCTTAGGAAAGCATGTCTAAGTGACTTAATTGCTTTACTTGCTAAAACTGCCTTACCTGAATTCTGTGCAGCATGCTAGGCTAGAATTACTCGTTTGCCTTAATATGAAATTTGTCATTTCTGAATATTTTCCTATTGCTGCTGTGTATTTACATTGGGACTACGGATGTGTGATTCCGATAGCTCCCCCTTGTTTGTTTATTTTGGGACTACGGACGTGGGATTCTGGTAGATCCCTCTACACAGTTATATGGAACTACGGGAATGCACCTGGTAGATTTTCCCAGTACTGGGTATTTACATTTGGTACTACGGAAGGGGATTCCGGTAGATCCCCTCGCACTATGAGTTGGACTACGGGACGGGATCCCGAAAGATCCATTGGATATGTATATTTGGGACTACAAGATGGTATCTTACTGGGTATTTACATTTGGTACTACAGAAGGGGATTCCGGTAGATCCCCTCGCACTATGAGTTGGACTACGGGACGGGATCCCGAAAGATCCATTGGATATGTATATTTGGGACTACAAGATGGTATCTTGGGAGATCCCCGATTGTTATTTTGGTGCTGAAATGTATTTCTTTCTGTGTTTACCTTGTCTCTATAATAGGTGTTGTTGCCCTTATTATCTTGTGTTACTTTTAATGTCGTACTTATTTATACTGTTATGTTCTACACTGTTAAATTTTATATTTTATTTAACCTCAGTAGGGCCCTGACCTTCCTCGTCACTACCCGACCGAGGTTAGGCTTGACACTTACTGAGTACCGCTGTGGTGTACTCATGCCCCTTCTGCGCATGTTTTTCATGTGCAGATCCAGGTACCTTGACTCAGTCCTATCACCCTTGAGGCGACTGTTTCAGAGACTTCGAGGTATATCTGCCGCGTCCGCAGATCGAGGAGTCCTTTTCTACTCTCCCTATTGTATTAGCCCTTATGTATTTCCTTTTCCTTGTTAGATATTCTGGAGTTAGACACTGGTAGACATTCCAAGGCTTGTGGATTCATGGGTTTCCGAGTTTTGGGAAAATGTATTAGTTTTGAGGATTTATATTGTGTATGCCGAGCGACACTTTTAAACGCTGTTATATCATTCTATTTATGTTTTGAATTGTTTTCTTCCGCAAATTGATTTATCTTCCGCATTTTAGGCTTACCTAATCATAGAGGCTAGGTGCCGTCACGATGGTTCACGGAGGGTGAATCGGGGTCGTGACACATGGATTGTAGATTCAAAACATGGATTGTAGCCAAACATCACTAAACTTGCAAAAGCATGGATTGTAAAAATTACTTGCAAAAACATGGATTGTAGCCAAACATCACTAAACTTGGGTTTGGTGAGTAACTGCCGCAAAGAAAAATAATAAAAAGCAGAATTGTAGATTCAAAATCTAACCAGCGAAACCAAAAGAGAACCAAGAGATCTTGATCAACAAACTGGAGATTAAATTAAATCTAGTGAAGCCAAAATTGTAAACAAGGCAGCGAAAATTTCTTTTACTTCAGAAGATAAGAACATCACCAAACTTCAACAAAGTAAAACTGTCCAATACCACCCAAAAACCAGAATAGAAATATCTTTTTAGATTGTTATAAAATATAAATCATGATCACAGGATTGGAGGCTTGAAACACGTACGAAACGCTTTCCTAAAAGTGATATTTGCACCATTTCCTCTGCAAGATTGCTATGAAACTATTGGCAAATAGCTTTAGTGGATACGATAAGCCTACGAATTTCAAGACTAAGTAAACAGTGGAGAAATTCTATTGGAAAGCAAGGACTATGGAACTTGATCTTTAGAATAGAAAATTGGAGAAGGAAAAGTATTTTACAGAAGGTTGCAAAGGAGGACTCGGTAACGTAACGTTATTTGATTTAATTGAGTTTGAAGAGAAGATCAATTTCTTTATATAGAGAAAAAAAAACTATTCCCTCTAAAGCTTATGAACTTATACAAATAGTACATTCTGTTTCTAAATATGTATTAAATAAGCCGAACCTAAATTCTAAATATTTTCAGTATAATCTTCTTAGCATTATAGAGTTAACCGTAAAAGGTGATTTTACATAACAAAAACTACAATACCTGGAAATATCAACAACCATTTGAATGGCTAATTACAGAATATACTACCAAAATTACATTATCTATTGTGCATTTTAATCTTCGTTCATAATCCAATACTACCTCCGTTCCAGTTTATGTGAACCTATTTCCTTTTTGGTTCGATCCTTTCTAAATTTGGTAACAATTTAGCTTAAAGTTACAACTTTACCCTTAATGAGAAGCTTTTATAACCACACAAATACTCTGGCCCCATTTGGACTTGTTTAGGACCACAAATTTCAAAAAATTTTTTTTCTTAAACTCCGTGCCCAGTCAAACAGGTTCACGTAAATTGGAACGGAGGCAGTACTATTTAATTGCGTACTGTTACGAATTCAACCATAACTTGACCTGACCTTCGAAATGACCGTTTTACCCTCGACCAAACGCCAATGGGAATGCACCACTGCACCCTGAGCAAGCAGCAAGTCAACCGGGTAAAGTCAACTAGTAGAGTAATTAGAACTCAATCGATACGCATACAGGTGGTGGATCCGAGAGAGACGAAAACGGAAGTAAAGAAAAAAAGAAGAGAGAGAAAGGGAGAGTGTGAGATCTAGGAAGAGAGAGAGAGAGAGGGAGCTGACCCATAACTCAGGCAGTTGATCGGAAAAGAGATGGGGTGCTCGTTCTCGGGGTTGAATGCTTTATACGACGCCGTTAATGGTGGTGGGGATGTTTGGATCAATGAGAATCGCTTCAGAATCGTGAGACAGCTCGGGGAGGGCGGCTTCGCGTACGTTTTCCTCGTGAAGGAGGTCATCTCTGACACTTCTAACCCTGGTCTTTCAAACAAATTCAAGGACTCTTCTCACCTCTCCGGTACGCACATACACACACTCTCTCTCTATTTTTATAGCTAAAAATTCATACTTTACTTGTGGTCTGACAATTGGGTCAGCTTAGTGCATAATGGGTTTTGTTCCTTTTCTCCAATTGTATGCGATTTGCTTTGGTTTTCGTTACTAATAGTTACTACTGCAAGTCAATATCAATTGCTTATATGATCTTTCCAAACGTTCTTATGGTTGCACTTGGCGATGAGGAACTGGGATTGAGGTGATTGCTCTAATGCTCTGTACCCCAACCTCCATGCTTTTCTATTTCTTGAATCAGAGTGTGTGTGTGTATATATATATAGGTTGATCATCTTCAAATTTGGATTTTTGTTTTTTGATTCACTGATGTTTCTGTGGTTTAGATATCTAAAAAAAATGATGTTAGAGTGGTTTGGCAAATATTGCTCAAATTCTCTATTTACTAGAGGCGTATTTTACTCCAAAATGTGCTTCTTCCCTGTGTACCTGTAGTTATATTGATTGCTGCATTGACCTGACCTAAGTTCTGTAGGTTTTGTAGATATTCCTCTCTACCCCAACTTTTCCATTCAGAGAAGAAGTAAAATACCAAGAAAAATGAACTCTATTATACATGTTTTTAAGCATCAGGAATGAACATTAGGAGCTTTTGGGTTTCTTATTCTTTCTTTTTCTTTCTCTGATTGGCTTTCTTTCCTAATGATATTTTCACTAGAAGTAGTTCTTCAACTCCTTTTAGCAGTTAGTAGGTCAGACTTCAGTAGTTATTGGCCCAGTTTACTCTGATTCATGAAATCTTTCTCTTTGGAAAGGGAAGTGCAAAGATTAAGCTTTGTCTTTGAACCTTGGTGTGCAGTTATTGTATTCATGTTCTTTTATTCTGTAACAAAACAATTGAAAAACTCTCTTAATGTGCAGATGATGGAACTTATGCTATGAAGAAGGTTCTTATTCAGAACACTGAACAGTTGGAGTTGGTGAAAGAGGAGATTCGTGTTTCATCTCTATTTACTCATCGCAATCTGCTTCCTCTCCTTGATCATGCTATCATCGCAGTCAAGGTAATTTCTGCAGGCACTGTGCGCCCCACCCCCAACCCCCCCAAAAAAGAAACCAACTCTGTATTTTGATCTCTTTTGTTAGTAATACACTGATGTCCATGTCAAGACTTTATGTGAACAAGAAGGCTTTGCACAATTAGGTGGTGGAAAAATTAAATTGAGTTTGCAGTATCATCCATAATAGATTAGCTTATGCCGTTCCAGGAACTCTTAGATGTACTCCGAGGAGCTGAATTCTCTAAAGATGTACTGCTCACTCTTCAGTCTTAAAATGATGGTTGAAGTCCAAAATAATACAAAATTCTATCGANGGGGATGGCAAACAATCATATAAAGTGAAGAGGTATTGCTATTCCAACATTCTCTGCTTATTTGGCATGGAGTTTGGGCAACTCTCAGTTGACATTTATGAAACGGCAAGTTATAATCATGTTAATATGTCATAGCTGTACTCCACACTATGTGCCTGCTGATATGTGTATTCCTTGTACCCTTTCCTCTACTATATGTTCCATTTTCATTATATTCTATATAAATATCTTACTCTGTTGGATAGGCCGCACCAGATCAGTCCTGGAAGCATGAAGCTTACTTGTTGTTTCCGGTACATTTGGATGGGACATTACTGGATAATGCCACAGCCATGAAAGCTAAGAAAGAATTCTTTTCCACTTCGGATGTTCTTCAAATATTTCGCCAGGTGAACTAAGGATCTGTATTTTTGCAAATGTGCATTTAATTTGTGAGAATATAAGAGGAGGACATCATCAATTTTGGAGCCTAGAATGTATTTTAAGAAACATTATTATCCAGCTTTGTGCAGGACTCAAGCATATGCATAGCTTTGATCCTCCTTATGCACATAATGATGTCAAACCTGGTAATGTCCTTTTAACTCATAGGAAAGGACAGCCACCTCTTGCTGTATTAATGGATTTTGGAAGTACACGTCCTGCAAGAAGGCAAATCCGCTCTCGTTCTGAGGCCTTGCAGCTGCAGGTACTTTCATTTCCTTTTTTAAATGTATACATATTTTCTGCTGTTTATATGCCTGTAAATTTCTAATAGGTTCCTTCTTTTGAACAAGTTTGGGCTGAATGTTTTCACCAATACTGCTACCTTTATATGCAAATTGCAAGTAGTAGTTAATTCATATTGTGTTCTTGGTTGACACCCATTTCTTACATATTACACCTTAACTGTTGCATTTTCCTTAATGTGCTGTCTTTTGTGGTGCTGATAATGTAGGAATGGGCATCTGAGCACGTTTCCGCACCCTTCCGAGCACCTGAATTATGGGATTGCCCAAGCCAATGTGATATTGACGAAAGAACTGATATCTGGTCATTAGGTTGTACATTATATGCAATAATGTAAGAATCCTCTCAACACTTTCTAATACCTGAAGCTCTCTCCGTGCAAGAGAGAGTGAAATCCTATGTCCCGTATAGTTGCAACAAGATTGTCCAAAAGTTGGCTCAACTATTCTATTTGTTGCACCTGCTGCACATGTACGTAGCATTAGTAGTTTGGTGCTTGTACTACGTTGCAGTCTTGTGCAAATGGCTCTTCTTTGGAGCTGGTCAAAGTAGCATCAATGGGAAAATCAGATATTAAATGCTAACGAGTTTTGTACTTTTGTTAAATAAATATGGTTGGTCTTACACTGCAAATAGAGCTCCCTACTTTTTATACTGAGACTGCTTTATCATGCCATTACTTCTCATTATGGTAGATACCAAGTTTAGCTTTCATGCCCTTTTTTTTAGATAAAGTATTGAGTTGTTTCCCACCTTTGGCATTTCAGAGGATAGAGATATCTCTTGACCATGAAAGTGGTTTCTATGCGGTGTGTATATGAATAAGAAGTAACCAATCTTTTCATCATCTCTATTGCAGGTATGGAGTATCTCCCTTTGAGTATGCACTTGGGGAATCTGGTGGAAGTCTGCAGTTGGCTATTGTAAATGCACAGATAAAATGGCCAGCCGGACCTAAACCTCCATATCCGGAAGCCCTTCACCAATTTGTGACATGGATGCTTCAACCTCAGGGGACAGTTCGACCTCGCATAGATGATATCATAATTCATGTTGACAAATTGATCTCAAAGTTTTCCCATTGAAAGGATAGGACAAGATTTGTTGGGTTAGTTTACAGATGAATCATCTTATAACGTCTTTTAGCTTATTACATAACTTACTGCAAGTTACTATTCTTGACTTTTCCCTGTTAAAATGTGAGAGAAGCAGCAATAGTTTGTTATTGTTTGGATTGCATTCCATGGCAAGAGGCTTTAGCAGTCATACGTTTTTATTTATAATTGTTGAATGGTGAATCATCCACACTCTATATTTCTTACGCCAAAAGAATCTTTTGCCTTACATGGCCAGGTTGCATTTGTTTTTGCCAGCCCTTTCCTCTGCCGCGCCGTCCTTTATGCTATTCTCGTTACTGAAATCTCAGCTATCTGTGGTGCCTATTTTTCCAGAAGCTTTTCCGACGACCACGCACTGGTACACCTTTACTTCGCTACATTCGTTGTTCGACATTCGAATCTGGGAGCAAAATTCATGTATATTGTTTTCTCAAATTTTCATAAATCCCTCTCTTTTTTTGGATGAGTTGCTGAAATATGCAGCGAATTTAGCTGTTTACGGTTGAAACAGTTGAAGGGCAGTCTGGTGCACTAAGCTCTTGCTATGCGCTAGGTTCGGAGAAGGGCCGAACCACAAGGGTCTATTGTATGCAATCTTACCCTGCATTTCTGCAAGAGGCTGTTTCCACGGCTCAAAACCCGTGACCTCCTGGTCATGGCAACAGCTTTACCAGTTACATTAAGGCTCCCCTCCTATTTACGGGGGAAACAATTGAAACAAATTAAATTGAAAGTTCATCCGTAGAGCTCATAATTCCAATAATGAAACTCGTTTTATACATATAGGCAAAATACACATGATTGGAACTCCGAATAAAGGGTTTGGCTGTAATTTTCCTAGTTTAATTGTTCATCCACATCAGCAACGCCTATAATCCATGTTATTTTATAATCTTGTTATTGAAGGATTAGTCTTTGTGCTCATCATCGGATTCAGAATCTGCAAATCATTTTTAGAAATGCAGTGTAAAATCACAAGCTGTCATGCTGGAAGTATACACGATAAATGAAGCAAAGGTTATTTACCTGATCGGACATCATCAGTAATGTGGCCTTTTGTTATGAGATCGTTAACCATTCGTAATATGAGTCTCATCCAAAAGATGTGAAGAACAAGCAAACACACCAGCAGTGAATTGAACAAAAAGTACAGTATGGTTCCTTCAGTCCGGTTCTTCTCTGTGTCCACTATGAAAAGAATTTCGTAGCTGCAGAGTTCAAAAAAATGCTGATTTCATGGTATGGTACAGAGAAACTGAACTAACAGAAAACAACAAGCTCAATTATAAATAAACTTTGGGCTAATTTTCTTTACTGCTAAATAAATATTACCAGGGGTGGATCACGCCACCCGCAAGCTTCGGTCGAAACTCTCTCTATATATTTATAAGAAATCGTATATGCATTTAAAACGCCACTTGGACAAAGGTGCCAATGACAAAGGGTAGGAGATTCCACCTTGGTTGTGAAAGATTGAACCCCAATGGCAACAATTTTTTAACCTTTCGTTCTCTTTTTTCTTCTTTCGTAATTATTGTTAACGATCTTTATTTTTTCACTTTTGACTTTTCGTGTCTGTTATTTGATAAATATTTGCTTTTTTCACACAAAGTTAAAATAACATTTTCTTTTGTAAATCTTCGCTCTATCATAATTATATTACTATATTTTTCCGTTCAATCGATTTATATTATATACCAAAAAAAAATAAGTAACCGAACCAAAGTCCAAAGTTGCTCAAACCGACAAAATATTTACTCTCTCAATGTATAAATAGCGACACATGGACATTCACAACTACGTGGCATACGGAAGCTCCAAATCCTAGATCTGCCTTTGAATACTACTCCTTGTGCTTCGGCATAGTATGACAAATAAATTGAGGCAGAGGAAGTAGTATGTTACTATGAGCATAGTGGTAATGGTTAATTAACTGTAGTGAACTTACCATGTGCTTCGGAGTACCCAGAAAGGAAAGCAGATAATACGAAGTGATGCAAAAGCCACTGCGAAAATAATGAAGAAAATATCAGCAATCCTTTGGAAGCCACTGTATCTTGACATCTTAGCAATCTCCATAAATACATCACTTCCGTCATGAATTGCTAGAATCACTGATCCAACACGGGTTAACCTACAAAAACAGAATGCTCAGAACTCACACGAACGGTTTTTTGCTAAATAATACTCTCTCCGTTTCAATTTAGACGACACAATTTTCTTATTAGTCCACACATTTCTATTGCGAGTCAAACTATCTTATCTAAATTAAAATTGAGGGAGTAGTAGTACTCGAAAAAGGTGATTATAATTATACCCGAAAATGTAAGACAGCACAATGAGTGACACTGTTGTTATGTGATGAACCATTTGGGCAGCAAAATCTTTGCGTCTTGTTTCCCAGTAGAGCAATGCAAATATGGAGTATAAGTAGAATCCTCCAGCATACATGTACAACCCTTTCAGCTTTAATCTGCCATAATTAAATTAACCAGGTTATAAAATAAACATTATGTTCCTGATTCAGATATGATTAAAAAATCTTAGAAGATGTTAAGAATCTCACTTCATTTTTAAATCAGGCCAAACCAGATCCCCAGGTCCTGACCAAAAATATCGAGTATTTGTGAACCAAGGCTCATTACAAGTAACAACAAGTGCCAATATCTCAGCAGATAAAAAATATACTAATTTCCATGCTGACTCTTTGAATTTGTTGATCCTCCTCCTCCTCCTCCTCCTCCTCCTTCTACTGCCATTGATATTTACCAACTTTTGCTCATTTCCAAAAATCATGCGCTTAGCCAATGCCTAGCATCACGGTAAAAAAATTAATATATATTGGCCGGACCAAATCAATCTCAGATTTTCAAGAGAAAAAAAACGCAGATATTTGTTTAATTACCTCGAAAACAAATCTGTCGAGTATGAATCGAACGATGGGGAAGAATAGAGCGAAAATGATAAGAAAATTCAAATCTTTGTACTCAGGGTAAGACTCTTTCTCCCAATCAACTGAAGCAGCAGCTTGATACAATTTCTTCATCTCGGGCTTCTCTTCGAATTAATGGAAACTAACTGTGTAACAGACACTAATTAGTTTACCTTATATATTAGTATATCATGTTCGACCAAAAAAGGAAATGAACTTTGTGTTTGTTAGAATACAACAACAACAACAACTCAGTATAATCCCACTTAGTGGGGTCTGGGGAGGATAGTGTGTACGCAGACCTTACCCCTACCCTAGGGCAGATAGACTGTTTCCAAATAGAGCCCCGGCATCCTTCCCTCCAAGAACTTCCCACCTTGCTCTTGGTGAGACTCGAACTCACAACCCCTCTTGTGTTTGTTAGAATGAGTTACCAAAAATGCTAGAGTAGTTAATTAGTAGTAGCAAAGTCATATTCTCATTGTGATATGTCCTGGAAATTTCGCTGAGGAATTTTAGTTGAAAAATCAAAATCTGACGGGTCGACTCTATGATTAAAAGAGTGTAACTTTTAGTCCCAATTGGGTGGAAAAGACAAGAACCCCGACATCATCGATAAGATAAGAATCAAAAGCTGACAAACATTTCTTTCCATTTGAAATACAGAAAAATAATAAAATTTCCTATGCAAGAAATGCAAAATCAGTAATTTCTTTTTACTCTTTCTTTTTAACTTAAGGCAATACATATTAGAAGTTTCGTGGTAGGCTTCGTGGTAAAAAAGCCTTAAATCTCAAGCGTGGCTGCACGACAATGGCAGATCTAGAGCATTATACATGGAAAACATAGTAATTTTTGTGTAGCTCTTGTATTTAAATTAAAAAATTACGAAATATTTATAAATATCTATGAACCCAGTTATTATTACATATTAGTTTGAGATTACGGTAGTAACTCATAAACTTTAAATTTTGAATTCGTCTTTGCTACGCAGTGGTTGTGTTGAAGTTTGGCAAAATGCCAAAGTCCCACATTGGTTGGGAGTTAAGTTTGGGGGGGATTTTTCCCCTATAAAAGAAGGCCTAATGTTTAGGATTGAAACACACCTCTCATTTGTTTTCTCATCTGTTTAAGGCGTTTGTATCTTCTCTCTTTAGTATTATTTCACTTGTATTTTTGAGTGGAATAAAATATTGGTTGTGTCCGAGGAGTAGGCAAAATTAGCCGAACCTCGTAAATTCTGGTGTTCCCTTTATTATTGCTTTATTGTCTTATTTATTATTTGGTGGCTGTCATAATTTTTGGTATAGTAGTTGTGACTTATTCACACTCTATACATTTGGCTTCCGCAACAGGTTGATGGAACAATTTCACCATCATTCTTTTCTCCATGATTTTATGTCTAATTAACATTGACTTGACTAAAATGCATCTCTTCAATAGATGAAAGTTTAGGTTTGATTATCGTATTCAACGTAGGTTCCTCGTGTTTCCCTGTTAGTGATTTAAAGAAGTTTCTACTAATAAGAGAATCTCATTCTAGTGGTGTCAAAGTTGGTCTAAATTTACACGATCTGTCCAAATACCTTAAGTGTGACGGATTGGATGAGTCATGAGTGATATAAGCATGTTTAATGGATTGAGTCGAATTTAAGCCGTCAAAGTAATAAGATAAAATAAGCTACTAAAAGAGATCAATTCAACAAGTTGATTCCCAATCCAATATTTTATTTTATTTTTTGGTCGAAATTTCCCAATCCAATATTGAAGAGCGTAGCTAAGAAGTATTATCATATAAGTATAATAATAATATATTAATTATTCAGTTCTCTAATCATCATATCATATATCATATATCATATATCATATATCATATATATAATACAAGGCCTATAGCGAGCTAAGGAGTTAGGGGCGTCTCAATACTATTGAGGCCTAATCTAATCATCATATCATATATCATATATATAATACAAGGCCTATAGCGAGCTAAAGAGTCAAGGGCGGCTCAATACTATTGGGGGCCTAAAGCCAAATTTTCACAAGAGGCCCTTAACTTTTTTTCCTAAAAAACCTATATATATACATAATTTTCTAGTTTTTCGAGATGCAAAATTATGAATAATTATTTTATAATCAATTTCTTCAAATAATTCTTTTTCAATTAATAATATAGCTAAATCATTCAATCACTCTTACGCGTGGTTGATCTTAAGTAAGATTTTATTAATTTTAATTTTAAAATACTTCTTTCAAATTTCTAGTTTGTCATCTTTGCTTTTTGGGATTGTATCAAAGATTCAACTTTTTTTCTTATATTTTGAATAACCGACTCATACTTTCTAGTTGATATATTAAAATTTCAATAAATACTAAAACGATAATATATGCCTACATATTGAAAATATCAAGAAAAACAAATATTAGATGAAAACTAATACTAAAAAGTTGGAATGGAGGAACATGATTCATTAACTTTATGTGAAAATAAATATTTGTTGCGTTCAATATACTTCTTATAGCTTTAGCTTGATAGAAGAAAAATGCACGACAATAGGATCTTTTGGATACATAAAAAAAATATAATAGTAGTAATGTTTGGTGAGAAGTGAGAAAGATTAAAAAAGAAAATTGAATATTATGGAAACTAAGAAAGAAAGTAGAAAGGTTTATATAATATTTAACGGGAAAAAGAATAATTACTTTATTTATTCCATAAATTTTGTATTTACATTTTAGGAGCCTATTTTTAAGGAACAGACATATCTTTCCTTTTCAATTTTTACCAAAAAATATAATATGAATAAAAATACTTGAGTAAAAAAAAATATTATAGGATAAAATTAAAAAGTGGGCC